TATGCCTTTTAGATGTTTTTCAGTAGGTTTTATAGTGGGGAGTGATTCTAAAATAAGAATGTTTCTTGCACTTATTCCACCTTCCTCAATGAGTTCTTTAAACAAATGTTAACTGGATTTTGAGCAGTCATTTTGATGTAATCAATGAATTTTTGATGATGTGTACACTACTTCATATGAGCTGTACAGAAATCAACTCTCAGCACTGAATTACATACTACTGTCCATTATTGGGTACAGAAAGATAATTCAGCTTGAGACAAGGCCATTAAAAAGCAGCAGGAATAAGGAAATGAATGAAAATGAGAATAAGCAAAATAAGATGCTGTAATACTATTCACAGGGTTAAGTTAATACAACTCTAATAGCACTTGAGAAGTCTGCCATCATTCAGAACAAAGCAGCATTGATTTCCACCACTATCAATATGTACCACCTTCTAGATACACTGACCAAATATGTAATGCTGTGACCTAGAGGAACAAGGGCAGTGGGTAATGAGACGATCATCACCTACACATTCCTCTCGAAGTCACACAATGTCCTGACTTGGAAATGTATCACCATCCCTTCTCTGTCACTGTGTCAAAATTCTGGAACACTTTCTCGAAGAGCACCATAAATGTAATTAGTGCATCACAGAAACTGCAGCAGTTCAAGATGACATCTCAACCACACTTTCTCTGGAGGAATTAGTGATGGACAAATGGACATTCTGACTTTTCTCTCATGCTCAAATCCCATGAACAAATAGAGACGGGAAGAGTTAAAAAAAAATTTAAACAATCATATTTATAAAGATGGTGGTGGTTTATGGAGGATAATTATCTCAGCTCCAGCACATCACTTCAGGTGCTTCTTAGGGTCGTACTCGAGGCCCAACCATCTTCAGCTATTCCATCAATGATCTTCCCTCCATCATAAGGTCAGAAGTGGGGAATGTTTGCTGATGATTGCACAATGTTCAGCACATAGGCCACTCAAGTAGTAAAGTAGCCCTTGCTCATATTCAGCAAGAATTGGGCAATAATCAGCCTTAGGCTGATAAGGCACACATCATCCTGAGTTGGACTTACATACACTCTTCATTGTGTCTGGGTCAAAATCCTTAAACTCACCCCTTATGGGTGTACCTACATCCCGAAGAATGCAGTGGTTCAAGAAAGCAGCTCACCACTTTACAAGGGCAATTCAGAACAGGGAATAAGTGCTAGCCTAGTCAGTGATACCCACATCTCATGAACGAACAACAAAAACGTGTATAATTGAAGTCAGAATATCACTGTATGAAAAATCAAAGCAGCAAACCTCTTGTTTTGAGCAAGACATTTGTTACAGAGTTTAGTCTCACCTAAATACTTTAAAGGATGATTCTAAGCCAATGGTGCAGCAGAAAGTTGTCTGAAGTAGATCATTTTCTGAATCAGTTACATCTTCACTCATTGACAGTGAGGGTTCAAGACTGTGATTTTGCATGTGGGGGAGATAAATGTAGACATTCAATACTAATAGCTATTATCAATATTTAACAGTGGGACAGTTGGTACAAATGAAGAAACTGCTATTTAAGAGAGATGAATACACGGGTTGTTGAGCAAAGGTTATCTAACGTTTTAAATTCCAAAGTCACCTCAGCCTTCTTTCCGATCCTGATCCAATTTAGTAAAATTACTACACCGACACTTATTTTGGCATTTTCAACGGATTGCTAATTGTTTGTGATAAAAGAGCTAAGCTTCAACAGGATGTGTGGAATCTAGAGCTCGGTGCCTTACAGAGAATCTGACACGGAATATGTTAATCTAATACTCCGGTGTTATGTTTAGCCTCTGTCGTCATACATTCACATTAGTCCTGTCATACGAGCCTCACTGTACCTAAAATCTAACAGATCTGAGGAAATTAAAACAGATAAAGCTGGAAATATTCATCAAGTCAGGCAATATCTGTGAAAACAAAACAAAGTTAATGGGTAGAATGTAATGTCCTTCCTGAGGCAGATTTGGAGGAAGGTAACTGGGAGGGTGGCACCTGGGGACCCTGTCACTTTCTTGCCTCTGCCCTGATTTAGTTGAGGCTGTGGACACTCATACTGGTAATAATGCCCAATAAAGGCTTCATTCCACTGCCGCTAGTATTCGACAGCAGCTGGTAGGGCACCGGCCTGTGCTTGCTGCCAACCTCCCCACTCCTTTCCCGTTGATCCATCCTGCTCTCATTTACCTGGATTCTGGGCCCTGAATGATTGCAATGTCGTCAGCCACCAGCCCTCCTGCTGGAACCGCCTGCAATCGAATGCTGTTGGCCTGACTGGGCTGGCAGCACTAGGATCAGGTGGGGGATGGATGGGATAATTTCCACCCTGAGGTTCTTGATCTTGAGAAAAAGCCACTTAAATGCCACTGAATATAGTAGGGATTCTCAAAAGGAGCAAGTGAGTTCTTACCAGCTTTTTATCAACCTTTTTAGTGGTGCAGATAATGAAAATATCGTCTCCTCTCCAAATCATTGCCCTTGCTAGTCTGGGTGCAGATAAATGGCACTATATGAATTGGAAACCATTGGGAATAGTTACTCCATTTATGTAGCACCATTGTTCCCTTGAAGGTTGAGCTGAATGGTTCTTAGCAATGGTTTCCCCATTGCACTCAATCTCAGAATCACCATCAGTGAATGAATAGGACAGAACACGATTCACTTCACTTAACGCTGTGAAGATACACATTTAGTTGCACACTGTACGAGACTAAAAACCCAGATTTTCTACTACACTTAAGATGCACACTGTTAAACTTCTTGAGTGTTATTGGAATTGCACTCTCTAGGCAAGTTTTTTAAAAAAATTCTTTAATGGAATGTGGGCATCGCTGTCTGAACTAGTTATTTATTGCACATCCCTAATTGCCCAGAGGGCAGTTAAGATTTATGCACATTGTTGAGAGTTTGGAGTCACACAGAGGCCAGACAAGCTAAAGATGGCATAATCCTTACTAAAGGATATTAGTGAGCCAGATGGTTTTTATGACAATTGACAGTGGTTACATGGTGGCCATTAGACGAACTTCTAATTTCACATTTTTCTTTTAATTGAATTCATAGTTACCATCAACTATGGTGGGTTTTAAACCCAGATCATAGAATTCCTACAGTGTAGAAACAGGCCCTTCTGCCCAACAAGTCCACACCGACCCTCCGAGCATCCCACCCAGACCCATCCCGTATAACCCCACCTAATCTGCACATCCCTGAACATATGGGCAATTTAGCATGGCCAATCCACGTAGCCTGCACATTTTTGGACTGTGGGAGGAAATTCAGAGCACCTGGAGGAAACCCACGCAGACACAGGGAGAATGTGCAAACTCCACACTGTCACCTGAGGGTGGAATCAAACCCAGGTCCCTGACGCTGTGAGGCAGCAGCGCTAACCACTGAGCCATTGTGATCACCCTGATCACTAAAGCATTATCCTGTGGCATCTAGACTACTAGTCTAGTGTCATTACTGCTATGCCACCACTTCCCCATGTAGGTGATGAAAAGATTTTGGAAGTCAGGAGGTGACATGCGAAACAAATTGTCCAGCCTCTGACCTGGGGGCAGATCAAAGGACCAAACTCACAACCGCAACCAACTTGGAAAAGGGATTGAACATCATCGCCTTCAAATTCTCTTCATATTGCACACCATAATATCACCAGTGTAGCACTCCCTCAACAGATTTATGGATGTACCTCCACCACACAAACACAGGTTTTCAATAGGCAGCTGATCACCAATTTCTCAAGGGGCAGTTAAGAATGGGCAACAAATAATAAGCCTTGTCAGCACCATCCAGACCCTGTGAATGAATTATTAAAAATTTCAGTTGGCAATTTCGCTGGACTGTGAATGGCCAACATTCAATCCAGTCTTTATGAATGGTTATATTAAAACCAGAATCAGGGTCAATGTTCCCTCTAAACTGTGTAGTTGTGTGGCAATCCAAAAGGCCATGCACAAGTTGGTCTCTTTACATGCAGGATCATGCAAAACATTTGAAGAAATGACCCACATCCCACATAATGAAGGAAATGTTGTGCACTACAGAAAACAGTTGGAGTACCTTGATAGGGACTGAGAAAAACAGGCTACTTTTATATCACTAAATACAGGGAGGTTGAAACCAGCCACGAGACTGCCTTAACTGAGATTAGTCTATTCATGACCATGGAAACCGGTGCATGGTTTGACCTCTTTCTTTGGTTCTCAGCCATACCGAGTGGTACAAGAGCAGATAAAGCATACACTTATATCTGTTACTAAGCCTAGTGTTTCCTGGAACAAGTCACCAGCAGCTAAAGCTTGAGAAGTGTCACCAAACAGCATACGGGTGACTGGCCAGGTCTCCCCCTCTTACCGCCTGCCACAGGAGTAGTGAAAGGATTTACAGGTTGATAATCAACTTGTTTGGTCAAATCATGAATGGATCAAGTCCTGCAGTGGGGCACATACCCAGAGCTTCTGGCTCAGACGCAGTGTCATTAGCCACTGCACAACAAAATCTCACAACAAAATGTGATTTAGCAACTTGCTGGATAAATCTGTTCAGCTGCCATATTGCTCTAACATTGAGAGAAAAGCATGCACATTTACCTTGGCCACATCTTTTCCCACTGCTGCAAAATTTATAAACATAAACTTATCCAAAAATAATTTTCTGCCAGTAACTTGGAACCTCTTCCAGCAAATCCAGGCAAATCTTTAATAAATGTAGTGACATTTTAATCTACCCATTACAAACTCTAGATTTTTACTTTAGATTATTAATGTCTGCACTCAACAAAACTTCTTTAAATTTAATTTATGCCACATCAGAGATTTTGTTCAAATGCACTTTTATTCAGTTGTAAAGTAAGAAGTCCCCTGGCAGACTACTAGGTAATAGCTCTGCAATAATGGTCAATTGTACTCCAAGCATGAGTCAGTGGCAGGAGAGAAAACTTAAATAGGAATAGGATATTCAGGATTACAATTTATTAAAAAGAGACAGTTGCAAAACTCTGTTGCCAGTGGAAAACATCCCTAGACGAATGGACAGTTACACATAGGATTCAAGTGACCCTCAGTGTCAGCAATAAACCTTGCACAATTATTCCCACTATTTCAAAATGATGCAATTGATGCAAATTTTCCTGTTGTCTAGACGTTCGGCATTTTGATGCATCAGTATATAGAGTTGCAGAGGAGCAACACAAGGTTAACTGTTTCCCCAATCCTTCTACAGTCTGTATAACTTCCAGTTTCAGTTGCTTTGGATTGACATTTAAATTCCGACAGCTTCACTTTAGAAACCATTCAGCAAACACAACAGAATGAGAAATCCTTCACTGTTATATCCCAATCTCTGTGACGTTCTTCCTGTTGTACTGAACGTGTCATTTTTATTTAGCCTCTTTTCTTTCATTGACTATTATGGCATGGTGCCGAAGCTGATTCCAACACTTTGTCATTTCTTCATTTCTGCTCTTCAGAGAATTCAATCTTAAACACAATATGAAAATCAAAATTAAGCATAAATTAGGCGAACAAAAGAACATCTTAAAAACAAACATAAACTCAGAAAGTAAATGGACTAGACAGTTTAGCACTGGAATCTGCAGTGAGTTGTTAAGTTGAATACAAAATTGACATAGTCATAGAAGACAGTGCATAATTGTGGAAGGGTGATTTTTCTGCCTAGAGTTCTGTGAACAGTGATGTTCTGCAAGGATCAGAGATGGGACCTCCACGGTTTGTAATATACATAAATGACTTAAATGAAAATGTAGGTCGTCTGTTTAGTGAGTTTGCAGACGATAGGAAAATTGGAGGAGTTGTGGCTAGTGAGAAAGGTTGTCAAAGGATACAGCAGATATAGATCAGTTGCAAAGTCGGGTGGAGAAATGGCAAATGGAGCTTAATCTGGACAAGTGTGAGGTGATGCTTTTTGAGAAGTCAAATGCAAGGGGAAAGTATACAGTAAATGGCAGGACCCTTCGGAGCATTGATATACAGAGGGATCTTGAGGTGCAAGTCCATAGCTTAAAAACCAGGTGGGAAAACACACCGACGCTTCATCAGAGGCTGCACTGAGGATGTTACCAAGCATGGTAATGAAACGTCTGCGAAACAAGAAACCAGCTCTGCGAGCAAACCAACCTCAACAACCTCAAAAGTCCATAGCTCCCTGAAAGTGGCAACACAAGTGGACAGTGGTAAAGAGTTGTACAGCATACTTGCCTTCATTGGTCTGGGCACTGAGTATAAAAGTCAGCAAGTCATATTACAGCTGTATGAGACTTCAGTTAAGCCACATTTGGAGAATTGTGCGCAGTTCTACTTGCCACTCTATAAGAAAGATATGGAGTCCTTGGAAAGGGTGCAAAAGAGGTTTACCAGGATGTTGCCTGGATTGCAGTCTATGAGCTATAAGGAGAGGTTGGACAAAGTTGGATTGTTTGTGCTAGAGCACTAGAGGCTGAGGGTGCAACCTGATATATATAAAATTATGAGAGGCATGGATAGTGTGGATAATCAGAATCTTTTGGAAATGTCAAATACTAGGTGGCATAGGTTTACGATGAGAGAGGAAAAGTTTAAAGGAGATAGGGGAGGAAAGTTTTTTTAGAGATGGTGGTAGGTGCTTGGAACACGCTGCCAAGGGAGGTGGTAGAAGCAGATATGATTGCAATGTATAAGAGGCATTTAGGCAGACACATGAACAGGCAGGGAATAGAAGGATACAGACCATGTATGGGATGGTATTACATGGGGTTAGTTTAGAATGGCACCATGGCACAGACACAGTGGGCTGAAGGGCCTGTTCTTGTGCTGCACTGTTCTACATTCTATGTTCCATATGCCAAAAAAACTCAGGCAAGGTTCAGATTCCATCACAGGCAAACGGTTTATTCAAATATTCATTTGCGGGATGTGGGTGTCACTGACTAGACCACCATTTATTACACATCCTTAACCATTAAGAGTCAACTACATTGCTATCCATCTGAGTCACACATAGGCCAGATCATGTAAGGACAGCAGATTTCCGTCTCTAAGGACACTTGAGAACCAGATGGGTTTTCATGGCAATTGACAGTGGTTGCTATTAGGGAACCTTTTATTCTAGACTTTTATTGAATTCTAATTTCAACATCTGCCATGTTGGGATTTGAACCTACGACGTCAGAACATTACCACTACACCACCACCTCCCTATAATGTGGTGTTCGCTAATCTCAGTTGGGCTAGCAGGGTCACACTGAAATCTGTTTGAAAGGAAGGAGAAAAGAAAATATCAGTTATTATTTCTTTTGCACCTGATCATCATCTTTTATCTGAAGTTATATGTAAGTAGGGATAGGCATGGTTTGGCTGTTGGGTGTCCTCCTCTTCATTATTCCCACTCCCATAGTTGAAAAGCTTCCCAATACAAGGTTCACTTTTGTACATGAAATATAGCTATTGGGACAATCAAAGGATGGTCAGTGCCTGTGAAGCCATGCACTATTGTGCACTTCCAGTAGGAAGGAATAAAATTCCAAAACATGTCGGTACCACTGTCCTATTTGCTGTAGTATTCATCTTATACTATAAAGGGTGCGAGAAAATGTATTCTTTAGGAAATTGAACATTGAATTATTATGTTTCTTTGGTCTTTTGTTTCTTTGGTCTTTATATTTTTCTAAAACTAATGAGCTTACCTTTCCTGCAGAAAATGTTCACATCTTACTTCCCAAGTATTCTGTGAAGAAGGCTGTAAGAGCTCTTTTTCCTTTGTACAACTGTCTACTGAGAAAAGGAAGAGCAAGGAGAAGGCAAATAACGAGTTTCTGTTTTCATTCCCATTGGGGGAGTCTACACCCATCTTTTTATCTCCTGTAAGCAACACAGAAACATAAAAATTGGAATAGCAGTAGGCCATTCAGCCCTTTAAATCTGCTCTGCCATTCAATAGGATCATAACTGATTATCCAACTGAGTAACCTGTTCCTGCTTTCTCCCCATATATTTTGATCCTTTTAGCCCTAAGAACAATATTTTACTTCTTCTTGAAAACATCCATTGTTTTGGCCTCAATCACTTTTTATACCAGAGAATTCCACAAGCTCACCATTCTCTGAGTGAAGAAATTTCTCCTCATCTCAGTCCTAAATGACCTACCCCATATCCTTAGACTGTGACCCCTCGTTCTGGACTTCCTGGTCATCAAGAACATCCTTCCTACGTTTACCCTGTCTAGTCCTGTTGAAGTTTTATAGGCTTCTGTGAGATTTTATCTACCATTCTTTTAAATGTCATTGAATGTAGTCCTACCTGATCCAGTCTCTGCTCCTATATTAGTTCTGCCATCCCAGGAATCAGACTGGTAAATCTTCATTGCACTTCCTCTATTGCCAGAACATCCTTCCTCAGATGAGGAGACCAAAACTTCAAACAATACTCCATGTGTAGTCTCCCTAAGGCTCTGTACAACTATAGCAAGATATCCCTGCTCCTGGAATCAAACTTTCGGCTAATGTACCATTTGTCTTTTTCAGTGCCTGCTGTCCCTGCATACTTTCTTGAAGGACATCCACGTATAATTGCACCTCGTCCTTTCTCAACCATTGCCATTCAGATAATGATCTGCCTTCCTGTTTTTGCTACCAAAGTGATAACCTCCCATTCATCCACATTATACTTCATCTATCATGTGTGTGTCCATTCACTCAACTCAACCAAGTAAAGCATCTCTGCATCCTCCTCACAGTTCACCCTCCAAATCAGCTGTGTCATCTGCAAACTTGGAGATATTACATTTAATGATAGAAACTTGTGGATAAAGACTGATAGAAGAATTTCATACATCCAAGGCAATATTTTTGATTTTTGGATCAGGCACAGACCTCAGAGTCAAGTGCATATCTTGGCCTATTGTAATATGAATTGTCACCTGATGGTGATTTCTGCCTTTTTTTAATTCATTTGTGGGATGTGGGCATCGCTGGCTGGCTGGCCAGCATTTCTTGCCCATCCCTAGTTGCCCTTGAGAAGGTGGTGGTGAGCTGCCTTTTTGAACCGCTGCAGTCATCCTGCTGTGGGTTGACCCACAATGCTATTAGGGAATTCCAGGATTTTGAACAAGCGACAGTGAACGAACAGCGATATATTTCCAAGTCAGGATGGTGAGTGACTTGGAGGGGAACTTGGAGGTGGTGGTGTTCCCATATGTCTGGTGCCCTTGTCCTTCTAGATGGAAGTGGTCGTGGGTTTGGATGGTGCTGTCTGAGGATCTTTGGTGAATTTCTGCAGTGCATCTTGTAGACAGTACACACTGCTGCTACTGAGTGTCGATGGTGGAGGGAGTGAATGCTTGTAGATGTACTGCCAATCAAGCGGCTGCTTTGTCCTGGATGGTGTCAAGCTTCTTGTGTGTTTTGGGGCTGCACTCATCCAGGCAAGTGGGGAGTATTCCATCACGCTCCTGATTTGTGCCTTGTAGATGGCGGACAGGCTTTGAGGAGTCCGGAGGTGAGTTACTCGCCGCAGCATTCCCAGCTTCTGGCCTGCTCTTGTAGCCACTCTGTTCATGTGGTGAGTCCAGTTGAGTTTCTGGTCAATGGTAACCCCCAGGATATTGATAGTGGGGGAATTCAGTGATAGTAACACCAATGAATGTCAAGGGGTGGTGGATAGGTTGTCTATTATTGGTGATGGTCATCGCCTGGTATTTGTGTGGCGTGAATGTCACTTGCCACTTGTCAGCCCAAGCCTGGATATTGTCCAGATCTTGTTGCATGTGAACATGGACTGCTTCAGTATCTGACGAGTCACGAATGGTGCTGTACATTGTGCAATCATTAGCAAACATCCCCACTTCTGACCTTATGATGGAGGGAAGGTCATTGATGAAACAGCTGAACCTGGTTGGGCCTAGGACACTACCCTGAGGAACTCCTGCAGAGATGTCCTGGAGCTGAGATGATTAACCTCCCACAACCACAACCATCTTCCTACGTGTCAGGTATGACTCCAATCACCGGAGCGTTTACCCCCTGATACCCATTGATTCCAGCTTTGCCAGGGCTCCTTGATGCCACACTCGGTTGAATGCAGCCTTGATATCAAGGGCTGTCACTCCCACCTCACCTCTGGAATTCAGATCTTTTGTCCATGTTTGAACCAAGGCTGTAATGCCTTGATTAGCTAAATAGTGCCTCAAGGGCCAATTCGCTGGCCAATGAAGGGCAGTGGGCCCTCTGAGCTTGAGGCTCTCAAAACATTGAAAGAACTGCAGCCTACAGGAAGGGGACAGAGAAGACACCATGTCACTCTTGAGAAGGTTCCACAGCAATTTTAAACATTTTGAAATAGGAAATGAACACAGCTACCAGGCTAAAAACATGGTAGGAAAACCCTTCACAGGTTGGCCCTGTAGCCACAGCTTCAGTCAGATTGGTGGAGCAGCGACCTCAAACTCTGCCTGAAGCACCAGCTCTCTTGGTCCACCTCTGGGAGGCTAAAGCTTAACACTGAAACAAAAAGTCTGGATTTTCCCTTAGAGTAAAAAAGTTTGTGAAGTGTGTTGATTGACAAACTACCTGGCGTAGCTTGATAAAATCAGTGGCATTTGATTTTGCAATTTCAGTAGACTCCAATATCTGGATTTCCCAAAGCTTATTATGACAGCTGAGCTCAATATCAATATTTGGCTGAGTTTCAAATGATCCAGAACCACTAATAGAGTCATACAGCATGGAAACAGATCCATTGGTCCAAACAGTTCAAGTAGGCTATATACACATTTTATCTGATACTTTTAAGAGGTTATGAAAGGACTTGACATTGTTAGTGAAAACAGGGTTGTTTGCTTTACAACAGATGGACCACTCAAGGTGTTTATATTTTGTAAATGGGTTTCATGTTTGAATTGTACTTGTTAGAATTAGATATTACATTCTGAGAAGCTTGAATTTTTTTGTTACCATATGATTCCTGAGATCTGCCCACAGTGGATACCATGTGACTGGATAAGGAGCATAAAACCTGGATTTCCCACGTAAATGAAACAGTCAAGAAGGCGCAGCAATGCCTCTTCTTTCTCAGCTGGCTCAGGAAATTTGGCATGTCCACAAGGTCCTTTACCAACTTCTACAGATGCACCATTGAAAGCATCATGTCCAGGGACATGTCGGCCTTATATGGCAACTGCTCTGCCCAGGGCTGCAAGAAACTACAGAGGGTGGTGTGCACAGTCCAGACCATCACGGAAGCCAACCTTCCATCCATGGATTCTATTTAAACAGCTCACTGCTGAAGGAAAGGCAGCCAACATCATGAAAGATCCATTGCACCCCGGTAATGATCTCCTACAACCTCTTCCATCAGGCAGAAGATACAGAAGCTTGAACACATGCACAAGCTTTTTCCGGCCATTATCAGACTGTTGAATAGAATCTAGCCTCAAATAAAATAACCTGCAACATAACCTGTATGCCACTAAGTCTTTTTGATCTGTACATCCTTTGCTTGCTGTAGTCTGCCTGTACCGCTCATAAACAAAGCCTTACCCTGTATTTCGGTACACGTGACAATAAAAATCAATCAATCAATAAGGGCACAAAACTGTCATGGGGCCATGGAGAGATATGGAGAATAGTGGGAACATGAGAGATATGAGGGGAAACATGGAAGTATGGTGGAATAGGGGTTAAAGAGAAGTGAGTTTAAGGGCTACAGAGTATAACAACCTTTAATACAACTGGGATTTTCCAACAAGCCCACCTTGTAACTTACAAGCCTCTGTGGCTGCTGTAAACTGCCTTCAGAGGTGATGGACCTGACTCCCTCACACCATGGAACAACATCGTGCACACCCTCCCCCCCCCCACCCCACCCACACCCCAACCTCCATCACCCTCACAGAACAACATTATTATAGACAGGACCCTTTGAAAGAAGATGGATCTGTCAGACTGACCAACTTTTCTACTTCCTCTTGTCCTCTGGCCCTTGGAGTTTATTCCTCAGTTACTCTCCACCCCAGGCATCTCTGTTGCTCCTAAACAGTCCCACATTTTCTTATATAAGCAGTTTGCCTCATGTAGATCCCTTCTCACTTAACCAACAGGGAAACAGAAATTAAATTTCACTACTCAAGTTTGAAATTCTAAACTACAAAAGAAAGGCTCATTTTGGCTGTGCAACACAATGCACCCAATTCTGAATAGCTCAATGTTTACCAAGAAGAGCTTTAAACATAAAATTAGCTTCGCATTTTTTATACCTTTAATGAAGAGGAACATGCCATCTCTGTCAAAAGCAAACACTGGCTCCCATGGTGATGCTATTACGTATGGGAAAGGCAAAATGAAGTGGCACAAAACATCCTCACCAGTGAAGTCAAACAAAGCTATTGTGCCCGTTGTAAAGATGAGTAGAAACTAGGAAAAAGAATATATAGATGTCTTCTGTGTAGAATATTACTCTCCTCAGTTCAAACTACAGTATAGTATCAAATTTTTGTGTTGTTTACCTCTTGTTTCTGTGCCAATGATACCCTCACTATCTTGCTTTCATTGCTAACTGCACAGAGTGATGTAAAAGATGCAAACTCTGCACTTTAGATGGAAATCAGGTTGGAACCTTTAGGTTTGTGAACGTAAAAGAAAGGTTATTGCAGAAAATGCAAAAATGAATGACTATTGCTACTACTGCTGTGATGAAAGCAGTCAGATTTGTAGCACAGGCACAAGAAACATGAGGTAGGCCACTTTGTTTGAAACAGCATTCTTGTGGCATTCCAACCTACTCTAGGAACACATGCAAAAGAGTTTAACTTTCAGCTCCTCATGTAACAATATTTCAAAGAGGCTTTGAAATCACTATTCAACTCGCAAGGATTTTAAAATTGCGCTATGTGCTTGGCACATTTATGTGCAATTCCTGACTTTTCTTTTTAAACAGACCAATAACCTGTATTGTTAAGTGATTTCAATTCTACCTGTACCATCTCCATCTCTACAGTTTTTCACAAGTTTTCTGTGTTTTATAAATGTCTTATTTTCTTGATTTATTCTCTTTATGCCTCCTATTTATTTTTGCTATTGAGCTATCTTCTGTTTTCTATACAAGGATTTCATAGATCACTTGATTCTTTCTTGTTTGTAGGTGGGTGTTTTCTCCCATTGCTTTTCACTGTTTCTTTTTAAAAACCCTTCAACTGTAATGCCTCCAACCTTGACATTCCACTGTTCTTTTTTATCACTTGTTTCAAATGAGCCAGTGCACCAGTCCCCTCACAATTCCTCTCTGAGTTTGTCAGGTTTACATCCATATTTTGTTTTTCTTTCAAATATCCAGAATTTGCAACTTCAGGCCTTTCGTTTAAACCAGAAAAAGGACTAACATTATCATGAGTCAGAAGTTCTTGACGGTCCACTCTGCTGCCAAATCAGTGCAGGATATCCATCTCCATTGCACTCCAGTCCTCACCATATCCCCTGTAGAAACACTGGGATTATTATCACAGAGGGAAGGGGCACTTGCATCATTTTGACATGGTCCTGGCCAGCTGCCCCCCTTTAAGGCAGGGATTTCTTTGCCATTCTATGGAGGGGAAGAAGAGGATGGATCATTCTGGGTAAAAATGCATTGTTGACTGGCATTAATTCATCCATGGTTTTATTCTGTTATACCATTCTAGGATATTATGGAAAGAAGTAGGATCTCTAGCAGGTTATATCATCTTACCACTGATATCTCCTTTTCTAAATTCATCCTAAGCAGATGCAAGAAGCACCTGACCCCAGAATGTTTCTACATTAGATGGAATGGAGCATCAATTGAACTAGGGCTCACTCTTAAGTTCTTTCCTTCTTTCCCAGTTTACCCTGTTTCAATGTCCTTTTGCTGTGAACTTTTGGGCCTCAATGAATTATTCTGAATTATTCTACTTAAATGTGGAAACAACTGAACATAGAATTAAAGTGTTTATTCATGGAATGTTTTTAACACTTGCACTCAAATCTAGATGCTACTTTCTAATAGGGACTTGCATTTTCTTTCTTTAACAGATAACCCCTTCCATCTTTTTCAATCTTACAGCCATGTCACAGCGCACTAATGTGCTTTTGCGTCTATGAACGATGGAGTGGAAGTAGTGGTTAACAATTTCCATATCCTGGGTCCCTAGTTCTAATCTCTAGTTGAGGCAGATCATTCACAAAGAAAAAAGACAGGAAGAGACAATATTGAAGCGCAGGTCTCCATCTCACATGCATCTCCATCCCTGGAATCGAGAGAGGAGCAGTTATCTTAAGGAGGAGGTTAGTCTCTGTAAGGTTATTGAACATAACATAGAGCCCAAACAGAAAATAAAAATAAAATGCACTATCAGAAAGTTGTATTTTTAACATATCAGCCTTTTTTCATTGTTTGTTTAAGGAGTATTTTAAATGTTTTAAAAATGCAGTATCTGATAAAATTCTGTAAATGTTTCTGGCTTGAGTACTAATTATATTAGAGCAGGTAGAAAACAAAGCACCAGGGCATTAAGTGACCACTGAAAATAATATTCATACGATTAGTCACCTACATGGGAAAAATGCAAAATAAAATGGTTTGCTTTTCATTGCATAAATTGTGTTGAAAGTGAAAGATGAGGAAGGGAGAGTAGTTTTGGAAAACATCCCAAATAACTCTGGGACACTTTTTATTTTCACTCTTGTTCTCATGAATCTGTGATTATCAATCCATTACAATTAATGGACAAAAAAAAAACACATCAGTGTGGTCAGCACAGAATGAAACACACAGCCTAGTGTACTGTAATTAGAGCTATTGGTTTGCGGTGACTGAATTCATGCATTTATTATATAAGACTCCAGGAGTTATATTGGTGCCTTTGAAGGATGTATTTCCTGATTTCATCCATTGTCCCATGCAAAATGCAAATCCATGGCTGGGCTGGTAAAGATTACTAGACTATTGAGATGTATTTAAAACATAACATGCACTTGCCTTTGACAATGTTGGTACAAGTGCTACTCCACTAATGGCATTTCCTGGCTCTTCATCCCTGTATGAAAGAAAATGTGTTCTGGTTAGTCTTTACTTTAAAAACCTCAGAGCCAAGCTGTTTCATTGAATATTCATATGTTCGTCACAGTATCAGCTTATCTGCCAAGCTCTGTTTATAGTACAGCTAACAAGGGAGCCACTTGCTACCCGCCACCTCCTCACAGGTAGTCTTCTGCAACAGAGCTATTCTATATGACCATGGATCTTGTTTTATTCCAATATTTGGAACAAATGGGAGATAGCAATAGCAAGGCATTATGTTGGAGCAGGAGCATGCTGTGCAACAGAATGATAGAATGCTAGATTCCAGCTGTAAATTTTGGCAAGTTCAATTTCCAAAAAAACAGACAACCTGTATTGGGGAAATACTGAGGCAATTACTGCAAAGTTCCACACTCTGTGGAAGCACCTCAGATAGATATAAAGACAGTGAATAATAGAGTTTTCCTTCTCTCTGCTTGGTCATTAGTTTGGCTTACCATTTGCCTTTTTCTGGCAAAGGAGGAAGCATAATTGTAAGAAAGATAAATACTCCCTCAATTAGGTAAAAGATAAACTTTGTGAAAGATTTATCAATGCACTTTGATTGGTACAGATACAATTAACCATCCAATGAAAACATGAAATGCTGGAAGTACTCAAAAGATCAGGCAGTATCTATGGACAGCGGACCAGAAGGGTGTTATAGGTTGATGATCTTTCAGTAGAACTGGAAGGTCACTTACCTGAAATATTGAGTGGGATTTTTCCTTATGAGCCTTTGGCCCCTGCTGCAGGCTCAAATGGGAATAAGCAACCCCAAGCATATTGGTAGTGCCACTAGACTTGAAATTTAGTGGCTCAGGTTAATATTCTGGGAAAGGGGTTCAAATCCCACCATGGCAGCCAGTAGAATTTAAATTCAATTGATAAATGTGGAATTGAAAGCTAATCTTAGAGGGCTGTCCGTGAAATCACTGTTGCAAAAATACATTTGATAATGTCTATTAGGGTAGGTATTATGCTATCTTCATTTGGTCTGGCTTACATGTTCCAGATGCAAAGTAATGCAGCTGGCTCTCAGTTGCCCTTTGAAATGGCCTAAAAAGCTACTCAGTTCAAGCGTAATCAGAGAACAGAAACAAATGCTGGCCTTGTCAGTGACACCCATGCTCCTGGAAAAAAAAAGAGGAAAATACAAAGCCAAATACAAATACAAATACAAAACACTATATTGGAACATTCACTTAACCCAAAGTCATCTATTACTGGCCAGAAAGTGGGTTCGCTATGTAATCTGTTGAAGCTGGAGAACTACAGAGCCTTTCTGCTTAAAAACAGCAGTAATTTGCAAGGGAAGGTTAAGTGAGGGAGAGGACACTTCTAAACTGATGCTCCCTCCCTCTAATTTCTATGAAATTAAAACTTATTTTTGTCAGGTCACAGGCCTTTTGTTAGGGGAACTGAGATGGAAACCCCCTGTACATGGAGGTCAGCAGCTATTGCTACACCCAGACAGGCAAGCAGGCAAAGCAATTAATCTGCCTGAAGTCCTGGTCTTCTGGTCTGCTGCCAGGATGTCACCTGCAGGCAGCTAAACTGGACCCTCCACCTTGGGGCCCTGGAAGTTGACTGGAAAATCTACCCTTGCTACCGTCACCATCCACAAAATGGCTACAAATGGAAACTAGGGATCAGAACAGCAGCTGTTGGCACTATTTTTAGTGACTGCACTAGTCTGATCTGGCTTTAGCAGTGGTTGAAAATCATGCCAATTAACCCTTTCTCACTCCATTGAAACAACCTGGGTATTTTGAGTATTTTCTGCTTTTATTTCAAATTTTCAGCATCATAATATTTTGCTTTTTAAGAAAGGCTGTTTCTGAGTATAGACATTGAATATTGGAAAACAACTTCATTGTTATCATATTTAAATAAGATTTTCTGTGTGGACCTTCAACTATTGCAAGTTGTTTATACTCTGACTCACCTTTCTCTCAATGTGAAGATGCTGCCTTCTGCATGTTTAGTCGCTGTTGCAAGGTAAGCCTCACCACTTTTGCAAGTTACCAATATTTGAACTTTTTTGTATTCATCAGATAATCCAAAAGGAACACAAAAGTCGGACTCTAGGAAGTGCAGAGTCTGAATGATACTGTCTGTTGAAACTGATAAGACTGATATTGGAATGCCTGAAAGAACATAATTTTATCACAGAATGATCGAAGAATCAATAATTAGATCCAATTAAAATTTTAAATTAGGAGCAAGCTTCAGGTAGTTGGAAAGTCCTGAATATTCACTGCACAAAAGTATAAATACCTAAATACAGATCCCAGATTGTGACTGTCCCATCTGCAAGGGCAATCACCAAGAGAGATGCACACATTTTCACAGCAGAACAAGTGATTGCAGAAGCATTGGGCCAGACAATGTCAGCTTTTGGTTCCAGTTCTGTAGGCCAAATAAAAAGCAGAATTATCCTGATTATCCCATATTCCAGACTTTACATTGAAATCAAGATCTTAAAGGAAAGCCTCAAAAGTCATGTACTACAGACAATTATATTTTACTTTTGGGAATTACCAAAAGGTAAAGCAAAGGCCCATATAAAAGGATACCTGCAAGTTTAGAAATAGATAGGACAGAAATGGAAAATCAAGGGAGAGAAGTTTATTTTAAAATACATGAATCATGATGGGAGCAGGTAATGAGAGCATTGATTGTAATAGTCATCTATGGGTCAGGGGATGGCATTCTTAATTTGCAATTTTTAATTGCTGGGTTCAAGAGGTACTCCAGCATTTCAGAGACTAATCTTGGTTGCAGTTTCGCTGCAATACTGATGGGGTGCTGCATCATCAAAGTTTTTGTGTTTTGGATGAGGCACTAAATCCAGAAGTCATCTTCTATTCATGTGGATTTAAAGAACCACGACACCATTCGAAGAAGACTAGCAAGTTCTCTGCTTGTAGGGCTTTAACAACAGTTCCCATGGACAACAATTCTATCTCAACAAACACAAAAGAAAGATCAACTGGCCATTCAGTTCATTGGGCTAAACCTTACACTTTTTGGTTATGTGCAGGTTGTGTAGTCTTTTGGAGGGATTCTTGCTGTGAGGCCAAATGAGATTCCTAGCTGTATCTTACTAAAGCCCCTCATTAGCTATCTACCCTGCACCTATCCAGTTCCTCATGTCCACTTATAGTTCCCAGAACAACTCAGCAATCAGTGTATTTAGACTGGCATCCCTTGCGTCCGTGGCGTCTCTGAGAGGCTGCTATGCACCTGAACAAGCGTTGGCAATCAACTGGCAATCCCATCGCTGGCAGGGTACAAAGTTATTCACTTTGCCTGCATTGCACATGTGCGAAGCAATGTTTGCAAATGAACTGTAGGTGGAGTTTGTTAACCCATGCTTCATGTATTTGGGCCATCAATGTCCTAATATCCAGCAGACATTGATCCATCACTTTTGCCTGTCAAAATGACATCATTTTGTCCATTCTGTGGGCAGAATCTTCAGACATCCTCCCCAGAGCTTCCTTGCCCACTTTTACCACACATGGACAGCCCATTTCAATCCATCTCCCTTCATCAGCAGACCCAGCACAATGAAATTTGACCCCTCAACCCCAACAGTACACATTGATGCCCACCCTGCTCTTCTTCACTTCCCCTGTGCAGCTGCAAAGTGTCCCTCCTGCAGCATTTCAATGCTAGTTGCCAGCGTGCCCTGCAGTGTTGGTCTGTGCTTTCTAAGTGGCCTTCAAATGTATCTGAGAAGAGTTTCATGATGGTTATGAGGTGTTGACAAGTGTCAGACGCCAATGTCTGTGAACAAGTGGTGTGCGTGGTTGGTGCCCATGCATTGTGCCCTGAGCTGCTGTTTGGTGCTGAGCAACATGGAGGCTTCTTGCAGTCAGCAACAAGCTAAACTCACCAAGTACCCACTCTGACTTCCACATTGAGACTTCTTATATATAGCTTGCTTAACGTGTTTGGTAAAGTAGGAAGCTAAAGACTGATAAGGTGAGTTGGGCAATTGATAAGGCATTTAACAAATGGATAGTCTCCTTTAATTGGCAACTCATCACTACCTAGTGAGATAACTTGCCTTCCCACTCAGCAAGAGCATAAAGGATAGAGTGAGATGCTCCTTATGTCCAAACTGACCTCACTGGAATTCTCATCAAATCCTGCCACAAATGTCACCATTGTCTATGTCGCCCAGTTCTATGTGAACCCTAAAGCCAGCTGCTGAATCTTCCTACACAACAGAATTCACTAAATTTCAAACTAATTAACTGTACATAAAGCTCTGAGAGTATAGGGGAGGATATACAATTATAGGCCTCTTAATTTACTCTAGACATTAAAAATATATGATATTCAGAAACAGAAAAGGCTGTTAGTTTTCCTTTTAAAAATGACTTTGGTGAGGAACTTTGAACAAAAGGTTAACTTTTATCAGTATTTGATTCAATCACAGGTATTTGTCTAATATTGGGTAATTACACTGGTCCAAGCCCCCCTAAAAGAATCTATCCATACATTTCAAATTAAGTTTTTTTTGTGTACTCTGGAGTCTCAGTTTTATTTGGACACCCTTTAAGTTATTAATTCACTCCTTCCGAGCCTATTGCATTGTAGAGAATGATACTTTTACCTATCTTTTCTTTCCCTACAGGTATTTTCAGTACATAATGGAACAGAATGTGGCTGCCATTCCACCACAAACATAAGGCATTGGGAATTCCTGGAAAGAAAATCAGAAAGTCATTTCACTAGGTCCATAATACCATGTCCAAGTTGCACAACTTATGTAATATAGATACCCATTTCATTATATTCTCAAGCTTATTGCACAAATTCAAAGTATTATTTATTTTTGAATAAATATGCATAAACTGTACTGTTGTTCTTTTTAATCTTGGAAATTGCTGGAAACACTCAGCAGGTCTGGCATCATCTGTGGAGAGAAATCAGAGTTAACGTTTTGGGTTGAGTGACCCCTCCTCAGAGGTTTTTCTTTTTAATCTTTCCTTTCTCCTATCTGCTGTTTTCTCAATTGCTTCCATTTTGCCCTAACTTGATGGTCTCCTTCATTACGCAACATGCCCATTCATCTCAGTAACTATTAATGCATTCCCTAAAGCGGCAGTTCCTTCATGGAGAACATTGGCAAATTTATTTTTGGAGGATAACCTGACAGAGAATGCATTGTTTTGTTCAGATGACATGCTTCAATGTTTTGTATATGTGTTATTTCCCTGGTTGACACTGAACATTAATTTGTGAGTTACCATTAACCACTCGTTAAGGTGTGAGAGGTTGATGTTAGGATCTTTTTCATTCGTTCACGGAACGTGGGCATCACTGGCTCGGCCAGCATTTATTGCCCATCTTTAATGGCCCAGAGGATGATAAACAGTCAACCACATTGCTGTTGGACTGGAATAACAGATAGGCCCGACCAGGTAAGTATGGCAAATTTCCTTTGTCAACCACGTGGATTTCTATGACAATCAATAGTGTTACACAGTCACCATTTATTCCAGGTTTTTTTGTTAGATTCAAATTTCATCATCTGCCATGATGGGTTTCAAACCTATGTCCGTAGAACATTAGAGATAACAAGGTGTAGAGCTGGATGAACACAGCAGGCAAGCAGCATCAGAGGAGCAGGAAAGCTGACGTTTCGGGTCTGGACCCTTCTTCAGAAATAGGGGAGGGGAAGGGGTCTCTGAAATAAATAGAGAGAGAGGGGGAGGCGGATGGAAGATGGATAAAGGAGCAGATAGGTGGAGAGGAGACGGACAGGTCAAGGAGGCTGGGATGGAGCCAGTAAAGGTGAGTGTAGGTGGGGAGTTAGGATGGGGGTTGGTCAGTCAAGGGAAGACGGATAGGTCAAGGAGGCGAGAATGAGGATGAGGTGGGAGGGGCTTAAGGTGAGAGGAGTGGATAGGTTGGAGAAAAGACGGACAGGTCAAGGGGGCGGGGACGAGCAAATTAACATTAACCTGGGCCTCTGGATTACTACGCCAGTAATATCACTGCAGCACCATCACCTATGCATAGAGTAATCAACAACAGGGAATCAAGGACCTGATGCCAGCATCAAGTATACAGGCCTATAGGCCAAATTGTCTGCTAACCGTAAGGGTTCTAAGTGGAATAAGTTTGGGCCACACAATCTGGTTCCAAGTATGCATGGGCTCATATCACAAAACTGGCTATAACTAATAATGTTTTTGCAGGTGGATGAATGGAACATTACTGAGAACGAGGGAAAGGAAATCAAGCATCGCTTTCAGTTAAACTTCAGATAGACTCCGAATATCAAAGATAACTTAAAGATGGGAGACATATAAAAGAGTGACTCACCCTTTGGTACAAGATTAATATTTAAATAGAAACAACATGTACCTTCTTGTTCTGTATCGACCAACAGACAGTATCTTACCAGTTTGAGTTTTCTGCTCCAGGCCCACTGGAAGAATTCGTCCGAGGTTAATAAAATGAAATGTTGCTTGACTGAAATAATTGAAAAATATTTATTTTTAAGTATAACTTTTATAATAAAATCATTAATGCAAAACTGTGAATATATTTCGCTTAAAAAATAATCAACGTTTCAGGTCTAGACCCTTCTTCAGAAATGGGGGAGGGGAAGGGGATTCTGAAATAAATAGGGAGAGAGACGGAGGCGGATGGAAGATGGATAGAGGAGAAGATAGGTGGAGAGGAGACAGACAGGTCAAGGAGGCAGGGTTGGGGCCAGTAAAGGTGAATGTAGGCGGGGAGTTAGGAAGGGGATAGGTCGGTCCAGGGAGGACGGACAGGTCAAGGGGGCGGGATGAGGTTAGTAGGTAGGAGATGGGGGTGGGGGTTGAGGTGGGAGGAATGGATAGGTGGGAGGACAGGTTAGGGAGGCGGGTACGAGCTGGGCTGGTTTTGGGATGCGGTCGGGGGAGGGGAGATCTTGAAGCTTGTGAAGTCCACATTGACACTGTTGGGCTGCAGGGTTCCCAAGCGAAATATGAGATGCTGTTCCTGAAACCTTTGGGTGGCATCGTTGTGGCAGTGCAGGAGGCCCAGGATGTCGTCCAAGGAGTGGGAGGGGGAGTTGAAATGGTTCGCGACTGGGAGATGCAGTTGTTTGGTGCAAACCAGGCATAGGTGTTCCACAAAGCGGTCCCCAAGCCTCCGCTTGGTTTCCCCAATGTAGAGGAGGCCACAACGGGAACAGCGGATACAGTATACCACATTAGCAGATGTGCAGGTGAACATCTGCTTGATGTGGAAAGTTTTCTTGGGGCCTGGGATGGGGGTGAGGTGGGAGGTGTAGGGGCAGGTGCAGCACTTCCTGCAGTTGCAGAGGATAGTGCCAGGGGTGCTGGAGCTGGTGGGGAGTATGGAGCAGACAAGGGAGTCACGGAGAGAGTGGTCCCTCCGGAAAGCAGATAAGGGTGGGGAGGGAAAAATGTCTTTGTTAGTGGGTGCGGATTGCAGATGGCGGAAGTGTCGGAGGATGATGCTTTGGATCCGGAGGTTGGTGGGGTGGTACATGAGGACGAGGGGGATTCTGTTTTGGTTATTAGTGTGGGGAGGGGGTGTGAGGGATGAGTTGCGGGAAATGAGAGAGACACGGTCGAGGGCGTTTTTGACCACTGTGGAGGGTAAGTTGTGGTCCTTGAAAAACGAGGACATCTGGGATGTCCGGGAGTGGATTGCCTCATCTTGGGAGCAGATGCAGCAGAGGTGAAGGAATTGGGAATAGGGGATGGCCTTTTGCAGGAAGGTGGGTGAGTGGAGATAAAACAAACCTTTGCTTTTCTTCACTCTGTTCTGTGGTGTCTTTGGAAAGATACAACTGATACATTTCTTCAAATATTTTCTTTTCCTCACTCCATTGCTGAGGAGAAATGACGTGATTTTGTCCTGTACCAATTATGTTGGCATCATCAAGCTTCTGAAGGGCATCAAATGGATTTTTCCACAGATGATCTATATTGAAAGCAAAATAAGTTACTGCATGTCAAATCAACATAGCATCACTGCATCCCCCTTGTTCCAACTAAACTCACACCCAACACACAACACCCATGCCTCTTAGTTTCCGTGGATTCATCCCACTGACCATGGCACATTGCTTTGAGCAACCAACCGTATAGCCTAGAACAAGAAGAGCCCAGACTCCTGACTGTAGGCTGTACATATCAACCACATTGTCTTTACCCTGCAGACCGGCTACTATTGAACCAAAGGATTGACCATGACCTCCTCCCTGGACTGCAGAGGTACAGAGCCCTTGACTGACTGGGCATGTCAGCAGTGAACTATTCCTGATCTGTTATGGGAGGCTACCCTTGACCTACAATACAAGACCCCTGACTGATGGATGGCTCCATGGAGTTTAAACAGGATTACTTCCCCAATACTTTGAGTCATGGCTGCTTAGTGTGCTTGCTGCATTAGTTGCTGGCACACGGTGCAGCTGTGAGATTGGTATACCACACTGCCATACTGTAAGATGTATGTCTCCTTGACTGAGGACTGCTGACCAGCTCGGCAAGCTGCAGGGTGGTGTGTCTGCACTAACTGCCATGTGAAGGAAAGGCAAGGTGAGGTAGGGATGCTGTGAACATTAACTGAGTGAGCACTAAGCAAGCAAGAGAGCAGCCATGAGATGCAGCCTGGTCCATCCATGAACTGAGAGCCTATCCTTATTTTAAAGTGTCTTTGCAGCAGCCTTTCAATGCTAGTGCCCTGTAATACAGGTCTATGCTTCCTGAACATCCCATATTCTGCAACACATCATGCAACAGTCCCTATTGCCCTTGCCTCTATAAGATCTCCCAAGGAGATGAGAAAATAGATGCTGTAGTGCATTCATAGAAGCAATCAATTAACTGAGTCTTGTCTGAGATAAGTAAAAGAAATGCTGTACCAGCATACAGCATAACTGCTGTATAGCCACTTACAATGCATGATAAGCCAGGCAGAACACAGAATGAAGCTTGGAGTAGACCTCTTCACTCTCTCAGACTGATTATCCTGTCACCATTAACTACTATTCTGACAACTGGGAATTAGACCAGCTGACATCACTGATAGACATGATGGCTTTGCAGACTTTGCAAAAGTAACAGTGATCCTCAAATCATCGGTAAAGAGTTCTAGTGATTCATAAATGATTGGGAAAATAAACTTTACATCATCTCCATACTACCTCCTGTCACTGGCATCATTCCTGCATGTACAATACCTGTAACAGTACTTGTTGTCAGAGAGAAAAGAGGTATTCTGCTAAGATATTACTTGTCAATGTTAGTGTTAAGGCCAGGGAAGTGACAATAGTATGACTAAATAATGAAAACGTTGAAGGAAAGTAATCATTTTCTGTCCTCATAGAAATTTATTTTCTCCCAATCCCCTGGATTTGTTACTCTTGATAAACTCTTGGTTACATTGAACATTTCATCTTTTTCAAAAAATTAGAGAATCAGCTGGGCTTTTATAATATCAATAATAGCTTCATGGTCACCAGTACTGAGATCAGCTTTATATTCCAGATTTAGTAACTGAATTCACATTCCACCAGCTGCCATGGTGGGATTTTAACACATATCCTTAGGAAATTAGCCTAGGCTACAGGATTACTAGTCCAATGATATTACCAATACACTACCATCTCTGATGACAAATTCTTCTGGGAAACAACTGTAAGTGCAAGAGCATGGAATTAATTTTGGTACATACCTGCAATCTGCTTGTATCTTTGTTTCATCACCAGAATGGTAGGTGTCAGTTTAATATCTTGTATACTTGGTTGACTAATTTGCTAAAATGGAAGTATATGCATAATTTATTTTAAAAATCATTCTATACCTTAATAGCTATAATTTTTGCTGAATAAATCAGGTCAAACAAATTGTTTGTCTGCACAGATATTTATGGATAAATTCTAGAGGTGAGGGGAGTATGACTATCCTTGAAATCAAGCCACAGGTTGACTGAGGGTTACATCAAAGACCCCTAGCAAAATTGAATTCAATGGGAATTAGGGACAAAATTCTCCACTGGTTGAGTCTTACCTAGATCAAAGGAAGATGGTTGTGACTGTTGGAGGCCAATTCTCTCAGCTCACATGGTCTGAAGCCAGTTTAAGAAGGCAAATCACTGCCAACTTCTTAAGGGAATTAAGGATGAGAAATAAATACTGGTCTTGTCAGCAACATTCTCATTTCAAGGAGGAAGCTAGGCTAGCAAATAATGAATGCAACCTATGACCGAGGTTGTAAAGAACCAGTAAGCAATGCCAAAAGAGACCAGTTTTTATGTATTAACTAATGGACAATGGGTTCTGCTAACCAGCTTTAGGAGAGTAGGAAGACACCTTTGAATTAATGTAATAAATTCAAACTGTCCATATTATGCATCAGTTTGGCTCCATTGCTCGTACTTTGATCTGCTCCCTGAAAATTATGGGTTCAAGACCTGCAACCACGTATTTCATTTGTATAGCCTAAGTATCTGTGCAGTACTGAGGAAGTGGAATCTGGTTGGATGAGTGGCTCTTGGTATGAGATGTTCAACTAAAATTCAGTGTGCTTTTTAGATGATTGCCAAAGATCTCAGATTCCATGCCAATAGGAGCAGGGAAGTGTAGTTCAGAGTTCTCTTCATATTGCAGCCAACATTTCTCCCTCAACCAACATGATTAAAGGAGATTTATGAATCATTCACCTTATTAGCAAGTGTGGGTTCTTGCTGGGTCTGCGAAACAGGCACAGAGCTTGTCTGCAAGGAACGTTTCTAAAAGAGAGGATCAGGTGTTATACAAATTAAGTCAGACGAGGATCTTTTCAATTTTGTGTGATCTATTTGTTGCAAGTATGATTCATGGTAGAATAAGTATAAAACATAAGATATGTTTCCGAACAAATAGTATTGTGAAGGAATGCAATTCAGTTGGGGCGAAATGGGAGTACAGCTTTCTTAGAAGCAGCTAAGCAGTTGGTTTTATTGCCTTCGGAGTACTGCATATTGCCTTAGGAGTTTTGCATACTGCTTGCTGCATACTGACAGAATTAATCTTGGATCTTCTGAGATGTTCAAGTTGTAAAGTTAGTGGTCCATTGCATTGCTTCACATCACCACCCTCTACATAGCTAAGAATTTGATATCAGTAAACCTAATATCAATAGGAAGGAATAATTTTTTTTTATTCATTAGAAATAAACTAAAGTGTATAGCAAATTTAAAGAGCAGTAAACACATCAACCAGAACAAATTTTAAAACAATTTTCATTTAGGGTTAACTATGTGGATGTAATCTAATTTAACATTGTGAACTTTTCACACTTTAAATTGGAAAGTGCAAACTAAACAATCCTAGAGTACTTACACGATGAATATTAATATGGAATAGTTTTGGTTATGTACCTAAAATATACATACACAAAAACAAATTAATAGCTGTAGTGTGCAAGGAACTGGTAAAATATCTCTGGCTAATGATGCCGCCAGGCCTGAGTTTCTCTGAGTTTCTGTTTTTGTTTTAGCTCTCCAGCATCCACAGTTCTTTGTTCTATTTTGTTCTCTGGCTAATAATTGGAAATGGTAACATCTACAGCAACATGTAGGAGCACACATGTCACACAGTGATGGTTTAGCTCCCTCCTCTATTCTAACTCCAAAAAGATTAAACATGTTAAAGGCCATTCCTCTTATGGAACTAAATTAATGTGAATGGTTTATCATTTCAAAAAAAAAATATTGCTCATCCAGGGTGAGGAAGGGGCATTGAATGTGAAACACACAGTTTACAGAGTTGAAATGCCTTTTCCTCATCCTGCTTTTCAGATTCATTTGTTGCATCTGAAATCTACACGCTAATTACACTGAGCATTAAACTAAAGACCCCCTCTTCTGGATAGAGTAAAAATGATGGAGCAGCCAAGAATGCAAGGTTGATCCTTCAAATTCATCAGTGTGCCATGTTAAACCTTGGTCTTTACTGATCTGGTCTGCAATGTGGAATAATAGCACTCCTTACGATCACTAGCAATGAATGTTTGTCTTTGACCTAAAGTTAGCAATTTCCAATGATCACAGCCACCCAGAAAAGCTGCCTCCTTTGAGAAGTTTCGGAACCACTAATAGAGCTGAAATTTGCTTTCTTACTCTGATGGGGTAACCTTGTAAAATAAATGGCTGTAATGTCCCAGTTAGCTAGAAAGGTCAACTTGGTTCAGTGCAACAGTCTGTTTTTGCCCTGACACTAAGATGTGCAAAACTTTATTATTTGCCCGTGCATTTTAAATAGGATCACACTTCAAGCATCAGAAAGACTACTTTCAGATAAACACGTCAAAGATATGCACATTAGTATCCCATAGTGCAATTGCAAGATTGTTGACACTGAATTCTGCTGAACAGGATGTTATGTTTAATAAAGTGATATATGTGATTGACAATTATCACAACTAAATATCCTTCTTCTCATCCTGAAATTATCAGATTTGCAGTACTAATAGCTGTGAACTGCCAAAATTCTTATGTCACAGTAATTTTAACAGATATGCAGTTACCATTGTTCCACATTAATTGACTTTGTGGGAGTCAAAACAATAAAAAAAACTTCACCATATTGTGGTTGTGTGTTGGTAAGACTTTTATATCAATAATACATAACCTTAACATTCATGCAGCTCGTAAAATAATTAACTGTGCACTTCATAAACTCAATAAAATCACACAGATAACTCTGACATCAGAATTCAGTTCTGATGAAAGGTCTCAATGGAAATATTAACCAATCTTTCTTTTCAGAAATGTTGAATGACCTCCTGTTCATTTCTATTGTTTTAGTGCAGATCCCCAACATTTGGGCTTTGTTATTTCTACAAAAGCTTTTCTGCAATTAATTCACAATACACAAAACTATTGAAAGGCAAAATATATTTTTTTTTTGGAGGGAATATATAATCATTTTATTTGCCACCCACTTAGTTACAGATCAACCTGCAGCCAAAAGTATAGATAGCATGGTCCTATGTCTAATTCTTCTGCACTTTGCAATCTTGGCACCTTGGTCAAATCTAACTGGCTTGGCACCCCATATCGATTGAACAACCAAGATTGCATTTCAGTACCTTCACACAAAGCATATTTGAATCTTCATTTCTGCAATGTTTACTATCTCACCAAATGATTTTGTGCATGCGTTCCTTGCCCTTCTTCTTTCACTCATCCTAAGTTAATCCTGAGTGAGGTAATGTAGGATGATTAGCTCCCACGGAACTATACCACGGCCATATATTAGTGTAATAACATTTAATGATTCATATAATGAAAGTAAAATACGAAAGATACTAGAGATGAAAAGTAAAAACAGAAAGTGCTAGAAAAGCGCAGTAGATCGGCAACAACTATGGAGAGAGAAACAGAGTTTTTATTTCAAGTCCAATATGACTCTTCTTTGGGACTTCAGCGAGAGCTCAATGGCCTCAGGACAGAAGGGAAAAAGAACACAAAATCCTGGAATTGGACAGCAGGTCTGAAAAGAGAATCAACTGGTTAAGTATGAATTCATCTGATAAAGAGTTTGAAGCTGAAATGCTAAAATCCCTTTTCCTTTCAAATACTGATCAATATGTCTACTTTAGGTTTTTAATTTGTGAACAGCCTAAACGTAAACAATGGAATGTTGGTCATCTTCTCACATACTCCTGTTTGCTCATTAAGTGTCATGAGCTTTTCAAACTGATCCAGTTCTTGAGCCCAATTATCCTTCTGCAGTCGATGCACCTCCAGCCAGGTTTCACCCTTTCCTAGAGGAGAAAACATGAATTGAAGCTAGGAAATAAATGAGAAGGCAATAAGACTAGCAATGTAATACGGTAAAAGCAGCTACGACAATACAAAAGGAGCACTGCCTTGTCAGATGAGATGTTAAACTCAGATGCTGTTTGTCTGTTCAAGTGGATGTCAGTATTACTCAAAGGGATTTTTTTCTGATGTCAGGAAAAGTGAATACGTTATACATCTGTGGCCTTGCGAGAAGCCCTTAAGAGAAGTACATTATATCAAATACTTGTATATTTTACAGCATTACTGTGTTATATTCATAACGACCAATATTCATATATTGTATATAGAACTTTCCAGTAGGATCTGTTAAATACATAATTTATCAAAGCCAACTGGCTGTTCCAAAACCTATGGTTAAACACAACTATTCAATGGTAATTCCTATACCAATAAAGCAAACTTATCAATATATGCTACCTTCCATGAAAATAATCTTGAGACACCATCTTAAGTGTAATATCAATTTGATTGTTCATCATTTATTCAAAAATGATCAATTTGTTTTTGGAAGTGACGTAAAAGAAACATTGCATTGAAGTAACATTCAGTCACATCTCTCAACACAGGCATTGATGGCATCTGTCCATTTTGGGAGACAATGGACTGCACCCAGGTGTATATCACTAATGTACTGTACCTTGCAAGCTGAAGGGTTCCCCATACGTTGCACGGACCACACAGCGTCCTCGGCTAAGGCAAAGGGCAGAGGGATGTGCCTCCTAATCAACACCTCCTGGTGCTCAGACATGGCGATCCTGGCGAGCCATTGCTCCCCTAGAATACCTGATAGTGAAATGCCGTTCCTACTACCTGCCATGCGAGTTCACTTCCGCCATCCTGACAGCAATCTACATACCACCATGGGCGAAAATGAAGAATGCTCTGGATGAAATTTATACCATGCTCTGGAGATGAAATCTCCCAAAACCTTATTTATCATGGCCAGCAACTTCAACCATGCCAAACTCAAGAGAGTGCTGCCAAAATACAACCAACTCACCTCCTGCCCCACCAGAGGACCGAACATTCTTGACCACTGCTACACAACCATCAAAGACGCCTACCTCTCCATGCCCCATCCGCACTGTGGAAAATCAGATCACAAAACTGTGTTCCTCCTCCCAGTTTACAAGCAGAAGTTGAAATGGGAGGATCTTTCAAAGAAAGTAGTACAATGCTGGCCTGAGGCAGTGGAAGAGCTTCTCCAGAACTGCTTGGAATCAGTGAACTGGACCATATTTAAGAACTCAGCGGAAAACCTAGATGAGTGCGCCACCAACGCCGCAGACTTCATTAGCTAGTGCTTAGAAGACTGCATGCCAAAGAAGTCAATCTGTGTGTTCTCCAACCAGAAACCTTGGATGAACCGGGAAATCCATTGTCTACGGAAGACCAAGCGTGCGGCATTCAAGTGGATGACCCAGACCTATACAGAAATTCCAGCTATGACCTCCGCAAGGCCATCAGGGAGTTCAAGAGGTAGTACCAGACCAAGTTAGTGCCCAAACCAACCGTACAGACACCTGTTGCCCGTGGCAAGGCCTACCCAACATAACGGAATACAAAATGAAACAGAGCAAGATAGCCAACAAAAACACATCTCTCCCTGATGTGCACAATGTTTTCTATGCTTGGTTCGAGCAGAATGCTAGCAGCGCAGTATCACCTGCCCTGACATGCCCTGATACACCTGTTCCCTCCGTCACCACTGCAGACATCAGATTGGTCTTCCTGAGAGTAAACCTGAGGAAAGCAATGGGCCCAGATGGAGTTCCCGGCTGTGCACTTAGATCCTGTGCAGACCAGCTGGTGGATACATTCACTGACATCTTCAACATCTGCTTGCTGCAATCTGAAGTCCCCACTAAGGATTTTATTTTATTCTAAATTCAGAAGTTAAAAAAAAGTCTATGTATGTTTTAGAGGGTTTTTTTCACATTGCAAAGGTTTTTAAGAGGGTTTATTTTACATTGCAAAGGTCTTTTTTCAAAATACCAAGCAGTTTTTTTTAATAAGGAGTTGTGTTTTCGTATCAGGGAGCCCTACATGTGGTCAGCTCTGGAGAAGTTTTTTTCTTCGAGGAATTTATTGAAGAGGAGTCATTTTTTTATTCAGTTAATCAACTAAGTGGTTGATTTTACTTAATTTATATATGTTCGATATATATACTTTCATTTTTTTCCATTTTAGTATTATTTTCTGGAGGTAATGAAAGGTAGTTATTTTATACATAAGGTGTTATTGAAACTTTTTTTTAGGCTTAATGTTACTAAGGGCAAATATGAGTTACGGAGTGAGATGACTAGTAGATTTAGAAAAATTATTACATGCAGGATCAGTCAGATAGATGGGTGACTGTCAGAAAAGTAAGAAGGCAGTTCAAAAGTCTCCAGTGGCTATTCCTCTATCAAATATATATTCAGTTTTTGGAACAGGTGAAGGGGATAGTCTCTCTGAGGAAAATGGAAGGGCCAGTCAGTTATTGGACACTTGGAATGATTCTTATGTTAGGCAGCGTTTGACAAGATTTAATATAAATAGTTATAGGGGACACTCTTGTCAGAGGCATAGACAGGAGATTCTGTGGCAGTTAGCATAAACTTAGGATGGTTTGTTGCTTTCCTGGTGCTAGGATTAAGGATGTCTCTAAACGTTTCAAGCATATTGTTGAAGGTGAGATTGAGAAGCCAGAAATTATTGTACACATTGGTCAGAATGACATTTTTAGGGAAAAGATTAAAACAATACAGAGTGAATTTAAGAGGTTAGGTAGAAGATTAAAAAATAGAACCTTGAAAGTAGTAATTTCTGGTTTACTCCCAATGCCAAATTGAAACGAGGGAAGGAACAAAACATTAAAGGAGATAAATCAATGGCTAAAGAGCTGGTGTATTGTTCAGAAATTCAGGTTTTTGGACAATTGGAATATATTTTGGAATAGAAAGACCTGTTCAAAAAGGATGGATCTAACTTAAACTGGAAAGGGACCAATATCTTCGCAGGGAGATTTGCTCATTGCATTAAGTGAGGCTTTATCCTGATGTAGAGAGGGTGAGTGGAGGAATTCTAAGTAGCAGTGTAAGCCGAAAGATTGATGGGGAAGGTTCTGAATGTGAGGAGAGCATGTCAATTAGAAAAGAAAGACAAGAGAGAGTCAGAGTATGTAGTAACTCTGAAGAACTAAACTGCATTTATTTCAATGCAAGGGATCTTACAGATAAGGCTGATGAACTCAGGGCCTGTTTAAGAACATGAGACTGGGATGTCATAGCTATTACAGACACTTGGCTGAGAGATGGACAGGACTGGCAGCTCAATGTTCCCAGTTTTAGATGCTATGGGAAGGATAGAAAAGGAGGCAAGAAAGGAGGCGGGGTGGCATTTTTGATTAAGGAATACGTTATTGCTGCAACTAGAGAAGATATTTCTGAAAAGTTGTCCAGTGAAAATATATCAGTAGAAATTACAAATAAGAAAGGAAAGATTACATTGATGGGATTGTACTATTGACTCCCCAATGGTAAAAGGGAAATTGAGAAACAAATATGTAGGGAGATGTCAGATATATGTAAGCATAATAAGGTTGTAATAGTGGGGGATTTTAATTTTCCAAAATCTACCGTAGTGTTAGAGGTTTGAATGGTGAAAAATTTGTCAAACATGTACAAGAAAATTTTATTTATCAATATGTGGATGCTCCTAGTAGAGAAAGAGCAAAACTAGATCTTCTTTTGGGCAATAAGGCAGGGCAGGTGACTGAAGTATAAGTGGGGGAACACTTTGGGTCTAGCAATTATGATTCTGTTAGTTTCAAAATGGTTATGAAAAAGTATAAGCCTTGAATAAAAGTTAAAGTTTTTAAATGGAGTAAGGCAAATTTTAATGGTATGAAACAAGAACTTTCAAAAATTGATTGGGTAGACTGTTTGTAGGTAAAAAGGCATCTGAAAAGTAGGAGGCATTCAAGAGTGTGATGAAAGGAGTTCAGAGGCATTTTGTTCCTGTTAGACTGAAGGGTAAGGCTGGTAAGATTAAGGCACAATGGATGAATAAAGATATTGAGGTTCTAGTCGAGAATAAAAAGAGAATCTTATTTTAGATCTAGACAACTTGGTTCAATTGAATCTCTTAATCAATATAAAGTGTGTAGGGGCATTCCTAAGAGAGAAATCAGGAAAGCAAAGAGGGAATATGAGATAGCATTGACAAATAACGTTAAAGATAATCCAAAGAGATTCTACAAATATATTAAGAGCAAGAGGGTAACTAGAAAGAGGGTAGGGCCTCTTAAAGTTCAAGGAGGCAGTCTTTGTGTTGAACCCTAGGAGATAGGAGAGATACTAAATGAGTATTTTGCATCAGTTTTTCCTGTGGAGAAAGAAATAGAGTCTAGAGAATGCAGAGAAATAAACTTTGTTGTTTTAAAAACAGTTCACATCACAGAAGAGGAAGTTCGGGATGTCTTAGAAAAAACAAAAATGAATAAATCTCTGGGACCTGATCTTATGTATCCCAGAACGTTGTGGGAAGTAAGGGAGGAAATTATGAGACCCTTTGCAGAAATATTTTCATCATCTATAACTATGGGTGAGGTGCCTGATGACTGGAGGGTGGCTAATGTTGTACCTTTGTTTAAGAAAGGTTGTAAGGAGAAACCAGGGAACTTTAGATCTGTGAGTCTGACTTTGGTTATGTGTAGATTGTTGGAGGTGATTATAAAATATAAGATTTATGGACATTTAGAGAGGCAAAAATTGATTAGGGGATAGTCAGCACGGTTTTGTGCAAGAGAAAATTGTGTCTCACAAACTTGATTGAGTTTTCTGAGGAAGCTATCAAAAAGGTTGATGATAGCAGAGCAGTAGACGTTGTTTATTTAGATATTAGAAAAGCCTTTGACAAGTTCCGCATGGTAGACCAATTAGTAAAGTTAGGTCACATGAGATTAGGGTGAGCTTGC